CGCAGATAAAAGAGAGCCAGAGGGTTTGCTGTTCTGCCTGTGCCCCTCTGTGGGTTATTTATACCATTACTGGTTTTACCAAAAATAGAAGTTACTGTGCCATTTACTGGAAGGATATCACTCCTTTTCTTTTCTTTCTCCCTGCCGCCCTCTTTCCCTTCTCTTCTACAAGTACTCATTGAGTAGCTTTACCAACCACCTTCTATGTGGCATCCACTGTCTCCAGCACTGTGAATATAAAGATATATAAGACACGACCCGTGCTATTATACTTTCCTCGTCTTTGTTTTAGCTCCCAATTGACCTCTAGGATCCATGCAGATACCATTGTTTATTAGGTGTCTGTTACATGTCTGGCACTTTCACAGAGCTCATTTTACTTAATTTCATCATCCACCCAGAGATGGGTATTATTATATTCCTATAACATAGATGATTGAATTAAAGCTCAGCGGGTTTAAATATCTAACCCAGAGGCTCTGTGCCTATGAGGAGGAGTCAGGAATTTATTCTGATTTTTCTGACTCCAAGCCCAGTCTTTTTTCCACTGTGCCTACGTACTGACAGTATTGACTGTGAAGGACCATGTCCATACTTTTATGCTTTCGCTTTTTGTACACTGCACTGCACATGTAGTATATACAATAAATATGTCTAGAGAATTAGGTCTGAATTGTATTAAAATGGTCTGCCTGATTCATCCTTTCATATGCGTGTATTTGGCAACGTTATTTAGAATTTTCATATGCACATGCATTTTTCATATACAGGAAACTAGTAAATATTTTACTGCTTATGTGTCGAGAGCAAAGCGGATACCCAGGAGTCGACCCTCTCCTGGAGGAGACAGATCAGCAGACATATAAATGGCAATATGGACTTGTATATATTCTGAAAACATGCCTACCTTGATTCGAGCTGGTTAAAGATGACACACAGGGAGGAAAAATCCACAGTGCCCAAATGATGATGAAGATCACTCTCTAAAAATCATGATAGAAAGAGCAAATTCTTTTTTTTAATTTCAAGAAATTAAAAAAATTTCCAAAATGTAAAGAGAATAATCTAACAAATATCCATGTACCCATCACCTAGAAATTAAAATTGTCAACATTTTGTCATATCTGTTTCAAGATTTTTTTAAATAAAATTTTTAAAAGCATTATGAAGCATATGAAAATCTCTTTTGTCTTCCATCCCCAATTCACCCCCCTCCTTCACTCCATTCTGGTGGGCATCATCAAAGGTCTGGTTTCCAATCCACTATTTATACATTTACATAAACACATATGTTTTCATAAACAATTTATACTATTGTTTTATATGTTTATTATAAAATATACATAATGGTGTCACCCTGCTTGTATCATTTTGCAAATTGCTTTTTTTAAAATATCACTGTGTTTTTGAACTCTATGTTGAAATATAAAAATCTAGTCCATTCCTTTTAGTAGCAGTATAGAATTTGGTTATGAATAAAATAATTTCTTAGGCCTTCTCTTACTCCTATTGATGGACACTAAGATTATTACAAACAATATTGCAATAGAAGTGCTCGCACAAATTTCTAGTCCTCATGCATGTGCTCAGGTTCTTCTAGGGCGTTTATGTAGAAGTGGAATGGCTGGGTGGTATACTAGGTGCATGTTTAATTTTATCACATATTGACAAGTTACTATCTGAAATGGTTGAACCAATTTACACTCTCACTGGCAATGCATTTAAGTACCTGTTTCTCCCTACTCTTTTCAGTGCTGGATATTGGCAGACTTAAATCTTTGCTAATTAGCTAACTAAGCAAGGTTATCTTCTTATTTCAGTTTGCATTTCCCCAATTTACTAGTGTAATATAGCATCTTTTCAAGTTCCCTGGCTGCTCAGGTTTCTCCTTTTGTGAAGCACCCTGTCACGTGCTTTCTCTACTCCTATTGGGTCATCTGTGGAGTTTTTTCTTATTAATCTGTAAGAGAAATCCATTCTGTATATGAATCATTTAACTATTATTTGTCAGTTGCAAACATTTTTTTTTAACCATTGTTAAGTTCATTATCACACTTTTTTTTTCTTTAGGAAGGGCATACAAGGTCAGTTCCAAAGGGGAAAGCGCTTTATTCCTTTTTAATCCAATGCAGGGTGGTATAGATAGTCTGCAATTAGATAAGCAGTATAAACAGCTTCTGCAGATCTAAGAAAAACTTCCCTACAAAGACCTTCAGTTCCTCCCCAAATCTGGAGAGCAGCCCCCTCATAGCATCTTGGGAGTTAGATGGAGACAAACACATTCTAGAGATAGCTGTGCAAAACAAGAGAAATGCCGTTTCTTTTTACCAACCAGTAGCTGAGCAAGATCCACACTTCTCACAACAGCCTCAAAGTAATTTGAAAATGAACTTTATGATTTAGTGGTCATTGTTTAGGCATCTCAGATTTAAGAAGTTCACTTTGACTACATGGAGTCATTCTACTTCTTCCCTCTCTTACTGAGAGCAGGTTTCAATTATGTAATTATGGTTAAAGGGGTCTGAAGAGTTTTTACTCTTATGCCTTCATCCTGATGGGATAATGGTTTGCAATGACTGGTTGAGAACCGTGGAAACACAAATATGAGGCCAAAAGCTTGGAAAGCTACATAAATATTTACAAACATATTCGACTGGTATTTATCATATTCATGATGGTTATGTCCTCACTATTCTGCTCAGTTGATAATCCTAGTTAGCGGGCATGTGCGAAACATTCCCAATCCACACCTATTTATTGAATCCCAATTCTGTGTTAGCCACTTTGTATTCTATGTGCTTCATGTAGTCAAAGTGACCAAGATAGACAAAGCCCCCACCCTCATGAAACTTACATTCTAGTGGCACGGAGCGATAAGTGACAATGAAGAAAAATGATGCAGTGAAATGGGATAGAGAGCTCTGGCGTGGTGGGATGGGAGTGTTTCTATTGTAGAAAGTGTAGTCTGAGATCATAGTGATTATCAACAACATTTACTAGAGACAGATTGAGATATATAAAACCACAGCGTCAGGGCTCCAAAACAATTACTTCCAACTCAGGAGGAAAGCTCCTTCTCTTTGTATTTTTATTTGGAGCAGCTTATATGAGTCTTGAAAAAAAGTGATGAGAGCATTGATTTTTAGATTAGAAGGAGTTAATGAATTTGTAAAATATGCTCCCTTTTCTTTGGGGGAATAGTTTATACATTGAGAGAACAGCTGGCTCCTATGGCTTGGCGGTGAGCGTTGGCTGGACTGTTAATTGCCTAAGTATTTTGTGTTTCTGACCACCTATTTCTCCTGCAGCCCAATTGACCAGGATAAGTCTTTAAGCCCCATTGAATGTTCCCATCCTGCAGCCAACTGCAAACTATGGCTCACAGGATGATTTAACAAAAAATTACTGAAAACATTTAAAGTGCAGCACTGAGTTCATGGGTAGAAACTGCCGTTTGCACAAACAAAACATTCAGATGATGAAGATTCTCTAGATATGATTTAATGCAGACTTCCTTCTTGTTTCATTTATTTTGAAAAATCGATTTCAGGTTCCTAACAGTATCTAGTTAGTTGTTCAGTATTTCCTACCCACTCTCCCTAATGCCTGCCTGAGGAGAAAAAACCATGCTCTTCTGGGGTTTTGTTTTGTTTTCTTAGCCAAGTACTTAAATCACAAATGTTTCATTAGGACCTTTTGATGGGTTTCATTGTTTTGTTTATTTTGCTTTGGTCAGAACACCTTCCAATTTCCTTCTATAACCACTTTTTTTCAAAGTCGTCATCCGACCTGGCCAAGGCAGCCGGTCTGCAGACTTTGCAGCGGGGTTGATTTTTGCACGGACTGTAACTTTGACACACAACACCGAAGGCCTCTTTGAGGAACCAATTTTCAAGCTAAGAGAACAAATGAAAGTGTTCTCTCATCTTTCAAAAAATATTTATGCACTTGGTGTGTTAGCCATTCTTCACCGGGTCCTTAGTAATGAATACAGAATGTGACATCGGTTTTTCACATACGTGGGATTTTGTCTTAAATTTCTGGGAAGTTATTTCCTCGTCTGACGTTTTATTTTCCTGATTTATTCATCTTTGACATGCTACAGAAAAATCTCTTCTCGCCTAGCGATTGTTCTTCTTTAAGCTGGCTTAGGAAGGGAAATCTTGACTTTTGAGGGTCCTTTTAGGTTTATTCTCCTCCCGTTACTCTCTTCTGCGCACTCACAGCCGAAGCCGCCAGCATCTGAGCTGAAAGAACTCGCGGCGGGCGAGGAGAGGAGGGTGTCATGTTGGCGACAGGCTCCTGCTGGTGGCCGGCGAGCCCGCCGGGGTTAACGGGGGCGCCGGGGTCAGAGCCCTCGAAGTTGGGGGCCTCGGGCAGAGGCGCGCCGGAGCCTCGGCGACCGCTCCACCAGTGCGTCCCGCAGCCCCGGTCCCTCCAGCGGGAAAGAACCGCCTGGTCTGTCGCGATCCCACGGAGATCCTGCTCTTCCCAGCGCAGTCTTCCCAACCCAGCGCGTCGCGGGGCCGACGCAGGCGAAGCGGAACTGGCGAGAGGAAAAGCCCAGGCCCGAGGCGGAGGAGAAATGAAGGGCCGGGAGCAGGGGGGATTTCCTCCCGAGCTTCCCCCTCCAACGGGAGCGGAAAATGTGATTTGCTGTGCATTCCAGGCGCGGTTCCCTGGGGTGACCTCTCCCAGCCGGCCCGGGCGGGGGGAGCAGACAAAGAGGCGAGGCAAGCGGAGAGGGGGACCCCGCGGGGAGGCAGGAGGGGTGCGGGGGGCGGGGGCAGTACCGGGAAAGGGGGCGGATAGCCGGTCCGGCGGCGGCGGCGGCGGCTCCTGGCCAATGGAGAGGCGCGGGCCCGGGCGCCGCGCTCGGCCGCCGGCATTTAAACGGGAGACGGCGCGATGCCCCGCACTCGGTGCGCCCTCCGCGGACCGGGCGACCCAGAGTGCAGCGAGAGCGTCGCTCCCTGGGCCCGGGCGCCGCGCTCGGCCGCCGGCATTTAAACGGGAGACGGCGCGATGCCCCGCACTCGGTGCGCCCTCCGCGGACCGGGCGACCCAGAGTGCAGCGAGAGCGTCGCTCCCTGCCCGGCTGACCCCGCGCCGAGCCCCGGCGGCTCGGGCCGCGGCCGCACACCGCGCCACGCGTCGAGAGCGCAGGCCTAGAAGACCCGCCGCACTGACAGGTGAGCGCCCAGGCGCCGGTCAGGGTGTGTGTGTTGGGGATGGTGGGGAGGCGCAGGGGTCTGCAAAAGGATCCCGCGCCCCCCTCGGTGCAGACGCCCGGCAGCTCTCGGTGGGCGCAGGCCCAGGCCCCGCGGTTCCCTGGGGTGAACCATGAAGAACCATCCCGGGGTCCTTCCTGCCAAGGTCGTGGCTGCCGTGACCTCACCTTGCGCGATCTGCAGGGAACGGCTGGGAAAGAGGATGTCAAGAACAAGAGCGATGACCCCGCACCCCAGTTCCACCTCCAAGAGCCCCGCTAACGCGCTCCGGGTGCGCGTGGCAGCCGCGCCTGCCAGACGCGCTGGTACCGCGAGGGCGCGGAGTCCTGGCGGCCGGCGCGCGGGAGCAGAGGGATAGTGAGCAGGAGCAGGGGGAGCAGTGGGGACCTGCGGCTCGGCTGCAGACGGCAAGGCAAGTTGCACTGAGAGGGTCTCATGTATTTGAGGCGGGGGATCTCTGAGGGCGCCCGTCCGAGTGCCGTGAGTGATCCTGCGGCGGGCTGGAGGACCCGGAGAATCGGCGATTGGTCTGTTCGCCCATCCTCCAGGCGAGATGCAGACTCGGGCAAGAGCTGCGTTCCGCCGCGGCGGAAACCTGAGGGTCGGGTAACCGGACAGCTGAAGTGTCGTGCTCTGTCCCGGACGCGGAACCCAGCGATCTCGCAGTGCTCACGCCGCACACACGCACGTGCTGGTTGTGCACTTGTGGGCGCTAGGTTCCCTCTTCTAGGCTTCTCCCCGCCCCATGCGTACCTCGGCTGAATCGCGGACGTCCAGGCGCAGGGCAGCGACAACCCGCCGGGTCCCACTTCTGTGGGTACCTCTTAATTTGCGTCCTAGAGGGCCCCGCCTCGCCTCGCTAGCGTTGGACGACGCGGGACTGGCGGCGGGGGGGCTGGTCCCCGTCTCGGACGCCCAGGTCATCCCTTTTCCTCGCCCGCTGCCTTCTCATACACACTGACCCCTCTGCAGCTCGCACAGCAAGGCCGGGGGACGTCGGGCCGTCGGGGCTGTCACCTCGCCAGCCGGAGTTATTTGTAGACTTAGGCTTGGGAAGAACAGATGCGCCACCACTCTGGCTTAGCATTGTCTTTGGATCCCAGCTTCGCCTTGGGGGCGCCCCAGCCTGGCGTTTCCCAGTGTCGGGCTCTGGTGACGATGCCCGGGCGAGGTGGGGAGCAGACAGGAGCTGACCTCTGCAGTGAAGCCCTTCCCGCGCGCCCAGAGCTGGCCTGAATGGGCTTCCCGGTCGAACCTGGCTGCTGCCTGCTCCTCCCCTGCCGACTCCGAATCCCAGCTCTTTTAGACAGAAATACAGCTTCGAAGTTAGGGGTTAAAATTTCTTCTTAAGTAGTACAGGGGCAGAGCGGCGACCATCCGCAGGTAATTGGATCTCCTGCTGGAAAGAGCAGATTCGAGCGCTGTGCGTGTCTGTTTATGTTCTCCTTCGAGATGGTGCCAGGACACGAGTTGATTAAAACAATCTATTGTGTTAAGTGGGTCACCAGGGATTTAAGCTGTCCCGGGGACCCCAGAGTAGTGGCTTCTTTCTGGCTGTACACACAAGTTAAATAGCGGAGAAGAGGTTAAGATAATCCCAATCCCAGGGTGAGGGGTCTTCTTTCACCCCAGGGCTTTCCAGCGCCTCCTCCTTTCCTTCGTTCTTTTTTTTTTTTTTTTGGAAGGGGGTGGGGTGGGGTGGGGGTGGGGGTGCATGGGAGACGTGAAGGGATGGACTTTTCAAAGCAATGACGGAAAGATATTAAGAAAACTACAGATTCTCATCTCCTCCCTGGCATACCCAAGTTTACAGCATAGGTGATGTGTTTACTATCACTGGATAAATTGCACTCTCCAATTGTTAGGATTAACTAATTATTTGAGAGTTCTTTAGACCTGTAGTTGCTCTGTGTGTGTGTGTGTGTGTGTGTGTGTGTGTGTGTGTGTGTGTTTAACCCCCAGGTCATTGCAGGAATTAAAGTCTTTGTAAACTTTGTAATTTCACAGGTTTCCTATTTTCTTAAATGTTCAATTTGAGTGAAATGTTTTGGTAACCCACGATCCATAGGAAATCCAAGTTGGCTAACACAGTCTTTATGTGAGTGGTTACACAGGGAAGAATAGAAACCTCTTATATCCCCACATCTCTGAATGAAAGCTGCCTGCCTTGTCTTCTGAACTGAAGCTCTCAGTCTTAATGTTTAAATATTAAAAGTGATATAATGACAAGAAATTTTATGCCACAGACCTCTCCCGAAAAAGCTTGTCAACACAAAGCTGTGGGGCATGTCCTAGAACAGAGAGTAAAGGACAGTGGGGAAAACCTAAACCTTTTATGTGGAGGAGAGTTGGGGGAGGTAGGGAAGGTGACTGTAGTAGCCAACTGAAAGGCACAGATCAGGCAAGTGTTAGCAGCTTATGTCTTACATCTGCAAGGAATTTTCTTTAGTTTTGACATATGCTCTTAGAAATGCAAAGTGCAACAGTAATTCCTGGGATAAGAGAAGTTTTTTTCTTCACATGTGAACATGAAGATACAAGATAGATAATTATTTGAGTTACAATATTCTTCAAACTTGATGGCATTGGAAACAAGTCCACGTGTCCCTTGTTAAATATGGTGCAGGGTGTCCATAGAATAGTGGTGAAGGATGTGTGTTTGGGGGCTAGGTAGAACTGGGCTCAAACCTTGGCTCTCCCAATTAGGAGCTGTGGGATCTTGGACAGATTCCTATTCTGAGTCTGGATTCCCTGACTGGTAAAAGGAAGACAATACTATCTATCTCATATTTTGTTGTGAAAAATAAATCGTAAAATTCTATCAGAATTTAGCATAATTCCTGGCATAGTAAGGTTCAAAAATATAGGTAACTCTTATTATTAGTAGTGGTATTGGGAGAGGCCATAACATTATACAGCACCAGGATATATTAAAAGGTGGTTCTGAAATCAAATCCCAAATCCCACTCACACAGGGACTAACACATATCTTTCACTACAATACAGAACCTATAACTTGGCTGTCTCTCAGTAGTGCTGCTCAGTGAACATTTATTATTGATTACTTTCTAACTTGTTTCCTCTTGACCACAAGAATTGTATACAATCATTAACTTCACCAAAAAATCTTCTGATGAGCATAGAGCTCCTGGGATACTTAACCACCAGGTAGGTGGTCTGCTCCCTCCCTATGCGATGTTGGGCCCTGGCCTGATTTTGCCTGACAGGTCTTCAGAATAGGGAGGTTGTGGTTAGGGTACTTGCAACACATAGAGCATGAGTCTTTATCTTATCTTCTTGGTACAACTTGGCTGGAAAAAAAAATTCACCCAGTATATTCTTAAGAAATTCTCTGCTTAATTTCTAAAAGTTGACTATCTTTTTAAAAATTAAAGATCAAGCTAAAAATAACCTTTGCTTTTCTGGAAGATTTAGTCCTGAGGAAAAGGACTAGATTATAAACCTGGCCTGCACTTGGAGCATTGGCTGTCACTTCCTTTTTTTTTTTATGTTGGGAGAAGAATTTGATGTCATGCCTATTGAATGTCTAAAACCGAATTCATCAGGAGGAACTGATCAGATGTTCAGGCACAGATATCTGGCTTGCTGACAATTGTCCCTTCACAGTAATTCCCACTTAACACTCCATTTAACTGATTATAAGCAGGTTGGTTAGCTAAAATGAGAAACATGGCAAGAAGAGTGCCGAAAGGAGCTGGCCTAAGCTTTCCCAAAGACATCAAGAACGTTGGAAACAGTTCACATGTAGCATTTTTATTTCTGATTCCTCAGGATTAGATAATTGTGTTCTTAGAACCTTGTGAAGATTGGAGTAAACCACCATGACCTGCACTGGACAGAGGTGGCTACCAAGGCTTCTCTTGCATCAGATGTTTGCTCTTGATCGCTAGGGGAAACCTGACAGAGAGCATCAGGTAGAGAAGACCTGCTCGGAGAGTATCTGTGCCCTCTGGGACAAGTGGATTGGAGAGGAGAGCAGTGGTAGAGGAAAAAAAAGGTAGGGGTAGTGTGGGTCTTGAAGGTGGAGAATAATGGCAGAGAAAGCTCACCATGAAAATAGGATCCTGTTACTTGGAGAAGCAGAAATGCATTAAGGGGAAGTTGAGGCAGGGTTTGAAAAGAACAATATTGTCTGCAAAGGAGTATAAAGGGAAGTTTTTGTGGGTGTCATGATGCACTCTGGGTCCATGAGATGCAGCTTTAATTTAATGATGTGAGTGGGTCATTTCATGAATGCAAATTAGCGAAAATGTTTGCAGCTGTTGGGTGGACTTGAGTGATAATTCATAGGAACCTAAATCTGGATTAAGCATTTGGATTGATTTTTGATAATGGGGCACTCTGCTAGGTGTTGATGTGGAAAAGGATTGTCCTCCAGGAATTTACATCTTCTTGATTTCCTCCATGTCTATGATATTTACAAGTGCAAATTATTTGGTGGCAATACAATTGGGATTTCAAGGGCAAAACAGTCCTATGTCCTTTGCTGAGTAATCAAGACCAGTTTGGTGTGGAAGGGAGATTGGGGATTGACCACAATGACTTGACGGAACCCTGGTTCTAGTATTAATTATATTCTCACCCCCTCACTCTTACTCATGTGGAATAAACAGAGTTCTTCTGAGCACTGCTCTTCTCTAAGAAGCCGAGCTCTCTGTTGATTGAGATTCCTGAAGCTGGTTTTTACTTCTCTCCAAATAACTAATTATAAGGTTTAAGAACTCGAAAGCCTCACAATAAGTGCTGAAGATTTTTAAAGTATAGGCTTTTTAAAAATGAAAAACCATTTCATAATATTTTCCACACCTACTAAATCTTATTTTGAGAAAAAGTTACTTTAAAAAAAAAAAAAACCAGTCTGTCTCTCTAGACCCCTTTGGCTTATGGGGTACACACGCTCCCATAGGAACAGGACGTCTGTCCAAATTAAAACTGAAAACCACAGTTGATTAATTTTGAATTTACCGCTTTATCATTGGTTTCTGCCATAGTGAATACAATGGCTTCAGTTAGGAAATAAAACCCACAGCATTCCACGTGGGAGCAGGTAAAATTAGTGCTGGATCTTTGGAGCTTTCCTAGAAAAAGGAAGACAAGTATTAAGAAGCTCCCTAGGCTGGAAAGAGTTTGCTATACTGAGAGTTGGAAATCAAAAGGATTGCAATTGGCAAGTGTGAAGGCATTTTAAAATGCAAAGAACAGAAACTCTGTAAATCAATGTGGTCCCTAACAATCATTCATTTAACAAATGGGCACTGAGGATAAGGTGATGAATAAGCCCTCATGACTCTTAGACTGGGTATTTATTTAATGACAGATGTGAAAATGCCAGAAAGGAAAAGTTGACTATAAAGAAGGTCCTAAGTTGGTCTGGAGAAAGAAAATTGCATTTTTTTGTGTGTGAGGAGATCAGCCCTGTGCTAACATCTGCCAATCCTCCTCTCTCTCTCTCTTTTTTTTTTTTGCTGAGGAAGACTGGCCCTGGGCTAACATCCGTACCCATCTTCCTCCACTTTATATGGGACGCCGCCACAACATGGCTTGCCAAGCAGTGCATCGGTGCACGCTTGGGATCCGAACCGGTGAACCCCAGGCCGCCGCAGGGGAGTGCACACACTTAACCGCTTGTGCCACCGGGCCGGCCCACAAAATTGCATTTTTTGGACATATGTTTGTGGGAGGGGATGGCCTCATGATGTGAACCTGTCATATACAGTCAACATACATTCTCAGTCGGTCTCAGATTGGCCTCTGTGATGTTGGGCTCTGTGGGTCTTGCTCTTGGATGCTGAATTGTCCTGGAGCCATTTTTAGTAGGGATGGAGGAAGAGTGTGGTGTAGGCCCAGGGCTGTCTTATGTGCTCCTCTTTGAAATGGGCAGAGACTGAATTTCAGTTTAGATCCTGGCCCCAAATTGAATAAATAGCAAAAACTTGTGACAGCTTCTCAAATTCACAATATTTTTGCCCAGGAGACTGATCTGTCACGGCTCAGGTTCTCCTGGTCTCTGGAGAAAATCAGCACTGTTTTATAACTGGACTTTTCTCATGAGCGATTTTTTAAAGACAAAACAAGGAAATTAATTTTTTTGTTGTTGAGGCAAAAAAGGCTCTGTTTAAAGAACAGAGATGTTGTAACATAAACTGACAAAAGCCAGGGAGTCTACAGTCAGAGCAGGAGCTGAATGTCACATTATCATCTCCAAACTTGAACTTGCCCAAAAGTATTAGGTTAATGTTGGAAAGATGGTGCCATTTAAGGGTATTTTAAATTTAATATTTAATTATCTTAATTTGACATTATCCTTAGGGTTGCACGGTCTTTACTTACAGGGTCTTTACTTACTTAGAGAATGTAGATTCCACACTACTTTTGTCTTTGAAAGGTAATTGCTTTAGCTAATAACACCAACTTGGACAGTTCCTTGGAGTGGGGGCCGTGATAAGGTTCCTATTAAATTGCACTTAGTGGTTATCACATGTAACGCTGGTGTACAGAAGAGAGCACGGAAATGGGTGCTTCACAGCTGTGTCCTTAGGTTCAGATCCATGGTGGGGGCAGGGGGCAGGGGAGGCCTTAGGACTCAGGTCAGATTCGGTGTGATGGCCTAAGGAGGGAGGCTGTGAATTTGAAACTGCACTCATTGAAAAGAAAATCCTTTCACATCTTAATAACTCCCTCTGTGCCCCATGGCTGCAAGTGCTACAGATCTTGCTACTCAAAGCTTGTTAGAATGGCAGACCTACTGAATCAGAATCTACATTTGCACAATATCCCCCAAAACCTGCACATTCAGGTTTAAGAAGCCCTCTCCTGTCCCAGGAGAATCTCATAGGCTGATGTTTCTCTCCTGCACTCTCCTTTTGAAAAATATGCTTCTCCTTCTCTTCTCCTCTTCTTCCTCCTGCTCTGTCTGCCCTGCCTATCCTGAACACCCTGCCTCTAGAATAGTCCTCCTTTCTCTGATTTACATTCCTCACTCCATTCTTTTTTTCCTCTCTCTATCCTTGCTTTTCTGGTTCTTTTTTTTTTTTTTTTTTGGTCAGTTTTTTCTCTGCCTCTCCCTCTTATTTAAATTTTTTTTTGTCATTGTTCATAGGCCGTTGCCTTTTCTGACCCATATCTAAATCTAGACCCATCCACAATAACTCAGTCATTAATTTATTCAACATGTCTATGGCACTTATTAATGTAAATATTTGCACATACCTGTTCTTTTGTGCCCATTTTCTACTGTCTAAATTTTATACACACACATATACATATATGTGAATGACATATTTCACCATTTAAAAGTAGAAAAATGTCTATCATTGTATAAAGAATATCTGTGCCCAGTTTAAAAATGAGAATAAGTGCGGGGTCCTGGAGTCTTCAGTGTAACGTGATCTTTCCGGTAAAGTAATTCATCCTGTCTGCAATACCACCATACATTTGGTTAGTTCTCAAACTGCTTTCACTTCTATGTCAAATTTGATCTGAACAACCTATCTGGGGAGATGAGGTAATGGTATCTTTGCTTAAATGAAGTCATTTATTGAGAAGGAAAGTGATGTTTCTCAAGGTCAGATAGCAAGTTGTTGCCCCACGACGTTGACTAGAAGCTCAGTCTTGACTTTTCATCCAGTGCTCTTCCTGGGAAGTATTCTCCCTCTGTCAAGTACCTTCTGGTCGCCCCCACGGGTCTCTTTCCAAGACCTGATAGCGGTGAACATCTCGTAAGCATCCAGCCAACTGAATGAGGCACAACTCAGGAAGCGCTCAGGCTAGTTGGGGAGAAAAGTCCAGGAGCCTGTCCTGGTGGATGAGCCCCCTAGGCAGCGAGGCTGATTCAGCTTGCTACAAAACCAGATGATAGAAAATAAGTTTCCCTGAAGAGGTACAAAGGTAATCTGGCCTTGACATAGTAGGAATGTACTCAATATTGTCATATAAGAATGAATACAGTTAAGTGACCATGATACAAAGTCAAATGTAGTTGGTGTCAGAAGCAGGAAGAAATTCCCGTGGGAGTCCATGTGATGAGGAGCTAGGTCCTGGCTGAGTTCACATCTTGGCTTATTCAGTGTCACTCTGGACAAGCTACTTCACAGCTTGATGGCCTAGAGGGGAATGGGAATAACAGTACCTAATTCATAGAGATATTGTGAGAAGTAAATGAAAGATTTTACATCGAGTGTTTAATGAGTGCCTGATAAAATGTTAGCTGCTATTATTAATGTTTTAATGAATTTTCCATCTTTTGTGTCTCCCCTCTCTGTGCTTCCCTCCTTTAGCATGAGCCGCACCGCCTACACTGTGGGAGCCCTGCTTCTCCTCCTGGGGACCCTGCTGCCTGCTGCTGAAGGGAAAAAAAAGGGGTCCCAGGGTGCCATCCCGCCGCCAGACAAGGCCCAGCACAATGACTCCGAGCAGACTGACTCTCCCCAGCAGCCTGGCTCCAGGAACCGGGGGCGGGGCCAAGGGCGAGGCACTGCCATGCCGGGGGAGGAGGTGCTGGAGTCCAGCCAGGAGGCCCTGCATGTGACGGAGCGCAAATACCTGAAGCGAGACTGGTGCAAAACCCAGCCGCTCAAGCAGACCATCCACGAGGAGGGCTGCAACAGCCGTACCATCATCAACCGCTTCTGCTACGGCCAGTGCAACTCCTTCTACATCCCCAGGCACATCCGGAAGGAGGAAGGCTCCTTTCAGTCCTGCTCCTTCTGCAAGCCCAAGAAATTCACCACCATGATGGTCACGCTCAACTGCCCAGAACTACAGCCACCCACCAAGAAGAAGAGGGTCACGCGCGTGAAGCAGTGTCGCTGCATATCCATCGATTTGGATTAAGCCGGGCACACCCAGCCTGTCCTAGGGATGCAGCCCCAGGCGGGCCCAGAGCCAGACCCCAAACAACCTGATTCTTACTTGGCTTAAACCTAGAGGCAAGGAGAACCACCAGCTGCCTCCTGACGGGAGCCTGCTAGTGCGTAGTTTGTGTGCATGAGTGTGCGTGGATGCCTGTGAGTGTTTGCAGACACCAGAGGAAACGCAGTCTCTGCTGGAGGGCACTTCCTATTATGTAAACGCATCTGCTTTCGGAGGGGATGGCACCTTCAAAGGGGCAGAGCTGTGGTCTGGTTCTGCCTTTGTCTTCCATGTGCCCTGCTGGGGACCAGAATCTCCTTTCAGAATGAATGTTAAGGGAAGAGGCTACTCTGAGAGCAAGAGACCTGTTTTAGTGCTGCATTAGACTTGGAAAAGGTATTTTAACCTGAGCTTGCTTCCTCCCCTCCTCCTCCCTTCCACATCCATCCCTTAGGATCGCAGTCACTATGTCAGTCTAATCCCCTATCTATCTGCCAAGGGTTCTAAATTAACTCACTTGACCATAGATGCAAATATTCCCGTCTGGGGAAGAGCCCCCAGACTCTGGGGGAGGCTGGTGTGGGCAAAGGCAAGAAGGATAGAGGAGTGAGAGAAGGGAGGAACTGGGAGTGAAGACCAGTTGGGCCCAGCAAAATTCAGTAGGGAGATGTGCAGAGTCTTGAAAGGCCAACCGCAAAACACAGACCCATGCTTTAGTAAGTTTTCTCCTGGTATTTAACAGAGCTCAAGTGAACAGAGGAGAAATGAGATTGCCAAAAATCATTAACTTTGGCTGTCACTGTGATCTGCTGAAACTAGCCGTAACCCAATGCCAAACATAAAACATAATATCCATCACTTCTGTTTTCAGAACTATATAAGTGAGCTAAACCAAACAGCCCCTCCTACTTTGTCCTTTGGGTAGATAATAGATGTAGTTCAGAACCCCCCTACCCAGGGATAGGAAAAAACAAAACCTATAGGCAGAAGGTCGTAATATCTTTCCTTTTGCTTGGTTATAATATCACCTTTTTCTCAGTTCATCATTTCTGTGTAATGCCTCTGAGAGCCACAACCCTGTATTATGAAGATTCTGCCTCTGCCAAGTATACCTGACAGTGAAAAACCAGTCTAGGAGGAGGGAGATTAGGGCCTGCTCCGTTTTAGCTAGAAGTGTATTTTGGGTCTTTTTGTTTTCTCCATTGATAGGAGGTTGAGCTGGAGAGCAGAGGAGAGTAAGGAAATAGAGGAGATTGCCTCTGGCTAAGGAGTAGTTTAGTGCCTGGGAGGAGCTGTAAGAGATATGACCTCCTCTTGTTCCTTTGCCCTCTGAGGGTCTGATGGGAAACCCCAGGTAAGAAATCAGAGCATTTAGGTGCATTAGCTGTCTATCTACTGCTCGTGAGATTCACGTAACCTTGTAAACCATTCAGAAGCTACTGATGAGATGCTGTCCTCTGATTTAGCTTGGGCTGCTCCCAATGCCTACTTAGGATTTATCTAATGGCCAAAGTGCCAGGTAGGTGAACCTTAAAGCATTTTACATTTGGCTAACCTGTTCTCTTCAAGCCTGAAGTTTTACATGTTAACCACCCCCCCTCCTCACCACCAAACACTCTTTTTGCCTTGTATCTTCTCAGCCTCACCAGCCAAGTCATGTGTAACATGGGCAACAAACACCAGAGACTTGCATTTCAGTTGCCCATCACGGCTCCAGCGTTCAAAGAACCATAGCAACTGGAGAGGCTGCTTTTATTTTATTTTTGTTTCAGTCCAGTGCTCTCCCATCTAGCAACTAAACAGGAAACACACTTTGAGGCAGAAGTTATCCTGAACACCCAAAATATTGGGTCTAATTTTAAAACTTTTAAACTCACTACTGATGCTTCTACACTAAGCGAATTTGTGCGAACACATAGTCTGTGCATTTCGTATACACTGTACACCCCTGCCCTAAATCTTTCTATCATCCACATCCTCCAACAATAGAGCACAGAATGGATTTAATTAAGCACACAAACGCTAAGCCAGAATTTTGAGGGTGGGGGAGAGGAAAAGGAAGGAGAAGGAGCTGAAAATGTAAAACTACACTAGAGAGGAAAAGTGACATTCAGAACCAGCAGACACTGAATTTCTCTTGTTGTTTTAATTCTGCCACACGCATGCAATTTTGTTAAAAAGAGATGACTTAAATTGGCAGCGGTAATCTTCTTTTAGTAGCTTGTACCACAGTCTTGCATGTAAGTCAGATTTGGCTTAAGTAAAGAGAATTTCCTCAAAATTAACTACACTGAGATAATCGGCAGCACAACTGGCTTAAAAGCACAGCACTAGCCAAAGAGGGAAACATCTGCTTTTCTGACCGCCTATATTAAGACTAGCGCGAGTACAGTGTTTTCCAACATTTATTCAAAGTGCCATATCTGTTACATATTGTATTGGAGTCACCGATGATGTAATGATATTTTTTTTATTACTATAGTAGAATTTTTTTTATGGCAAGATATTTGTGATCTTGATCTTGCCTGTTAAAATAATGCCCAACACCAAATATGAATTTTATGATATACACTTCATGCTTGGCATTAAAAGAGAAAAACACACATCCTACAAGTCTGTAAGTTGTTTTTGTGTTATTGTGGTTCTTCAAAGTTAAACATGTAAGCGAAAAATCTAGAGGAAAGGATAATTTCCACTGTGTGGAATGTGAATAGTTAAACAAAAAGTTATGGTTATTTAATGTAATTATTAATTCAAATACTTTGGTCACTGTGATTTCAAGCATTTTTTTTTCTCCTTTATTTGACTTCCTCTGAGTTGAGCAAAGAAGAGGCTGGCACGTTGTATGTTGTTGGAGGCTTTTTATCGGGTCAGAGGGAAACAATAAAATCTTGACACATCTGAACATGTATTACACAATCAAGACCTGAGCTTTTATTTTTTTAACTGAATGTTCCTTAAAGGTTAACATTTCTGAGGCAATATTAAGAAAGATTTTAAATGTTATTTTGGAAGACTTATGATGTGTGTATACAAACAAATAGCAGAGAATAATGAATAGTTCACAAGTCCTTTTAAGGAGAAAATCTAAAATGAAAAATGTATGTACAGAACATTTATAAATGACCAGTTAACGCTTAAGAGTGAAAGTAGTTCTATTGACTTGTCATTCTCAAGATATTTAATATCAACTGCATTATCTATTATGTCTGCTTTAATCATTTAAAAACAACAGAGGATTATATAGACTATGATTGTGAGGTAGATTGCCGTGTGTGAGGATGAGAGGGGATTTGATAATCTCATAAAAGTTAATTTGGTTTAAAGCAAAGTTTTATGAATCTGTAGCTAGAATTTAATTTCACCCTAATAATGTTCTATATAACCTTTCCCAAAGAGCAACCAATAAATTGAAACTCCTCTCTGTATGTGTGTGTGGCTGTGTTTTTAACTGGTAGTGTTCACAGGGTGGGGGTGGGGCATGGCGTGGGAAGGGAGGTAGAAAAGAGATAATTAGATCTCTTGTGATCTCAAAGGGAATTGATTTATTTCTTCCACCTAGAACTCCAGATCCCACTTGATTTCAATAGAACATCTCAGGCCGTGGCAGTTAGAGGCAGGGGAAAACTGGTGTGCAATGGAAAGTACGAACCTCTTCCCCAGAGTTAGAAAGGGTTATGAGAAGCCTTCATGTAATGGAAGAGTTGTCACACAGAAATGATAATAGCTTTATTTTTGAGGTGTTCAAGGGGAAAACGGGAGAAAGATTTTGGGCTCTGTAGAAGGAAGAGCTTTCTAATGATGAGGGTGATTTGGCAGTGCAATATGCTGCCTTCAAGGTGGTGAACTCCCTGTCCTTGGAAATATTAAAACATATGCTAGATCTCTTTTGATAAGGATGTGAGGTCAAGTGAGTTAATTGCCCTGGGTATGCAACTGAACTGGTGCATTTCTGAAGTCCCTTCGTACTCAGACATTAGACACAGGATTTCTACTGGATATTGGTGCTCTGACAATGTAATGAAAATCCCAGCACCTATGCATGGAATGCTTATGCCAGACACTGTGCTAACGATTTTATTTGAATTATTTCCCACTTAATCTTCAAAGTAGCTCAATGACATATGTACCATTTTTATCACTGCCAAGAGGTAGTGAATGAACTGATATGGTCTTACTGCAGCACCTATGCCCTTAAACACTATGCAAAATTGTGAGATTTTCACCTTATATCAGTTTGTTCTTTTAAGGACAGAACATAGCACTGTGAAAATAGATCCAACTCTTGATTATTCACATCCAATGATTAAGACAATCCTGAGGTTGTAGTTGGCATTATTGGGAACCCTAGTCCTGAAGCATTCAAAGCCTCTTTGCCACTTCTCTTTTTGTTATGGCCTCCTTGGACTTGGATGGGAAAGATAGCAGCAAGTACAGAGGAGACAGTGTCCTCAAAAAAGCCACACTCACACCCGGGAGGTAACATCTGAACAGGTTGGTGGGACTGGATACAGAAAGGCATTCTAGGTTAAAAAAAAAAGTATAGGGACTGGCCCCATGGCTTAGTGGTTAAATTTGGTACACACCTCTTCAGTGGCCCAGGTTCAGTTCCTAGGCACAGACCTACACCACTCATTGGTGGCCATGCTGTGGCGGCAACCCACATAAAAAATAGAGGGAGACTGCACAGATATTAGCTCAGGGTGAATCTTCCTCAGCAGGAAAAAAAAAAAAAGTATGTGGCAGGACATCAGCAAAAATATTGGAGTGAGGAGCTCTGAAAATTCTCTCCTCTATAAAACCAATGAGAAACTGGCAAAAATGTTCAGAATCAACTTTTTTGAATTCTGGATATTAACCAAAGGCTTGCAGCAGTCTGGGGAGCACTTATTCAAGAAAAAGGCTGACTCACTGTAAGAACATTGAGCATTGTGATAGTTTAAGTTGGCTTGTTCTCATCCTCTCTCTCCAGTTCCACAGAAACCTTGAAAACCAACAGCGTGCAATTACGGTGAAAACCAGCAGTCTGGCAGCCACTAGAGGGGGTAGAATGGGATTAGAGTTCCTTCAAAGCTGAATACCCAGAGAATTGTCATTATTTGACCTGTTAGGCCCTGGAGGCTTCACTTGCAAGGCCATCTATCTTTATTTGACCTGGTTGGAAACTGCCCAGTGTGAAAAGCCTTGTTGGAGACAATTAGAGGCAATTGATTATCTTTGTGGCTGCCTGAGGCAGTGGGTGGCAGTTGGGGCAAGCAATAGGCCGAACAAAAAGTTTAAAAGGAACAGCTGAGGAATGAGATTTCCTTGGGGCTTTGAAAAGCTCCAACATATTACTGGAAATCTAGAAGGCCAAATACATGCATAGGGCACTGTGCATGCCCAGGGCTGTGCACATGCTCAAGAAGAATCTGAGAAGGCCCCAAGCTCTTACCTCAGGCTGACTTTGAGGCTCTGCACAAGCAGGAATTGAAGGCTAAGGCCGAGTTGTCAGCTGCCTGGCTGAGTGTTGAAGGCATATCTCAACATCTACACAGAACCCCTCAGCAAAGACTGGTAGACTTATTGCTTCCAGGACCTTAAGTAAATCACTGTTCAACTATTAGCTGACCACTAAGCTAACCAAGGAGAGACTTCAGTGGCCACATACAACAAAAAATACAGACTTTACAGCATTAGTTCAGAAAAGTCACTAAACAAAGATACAAACAAACAACAACAAGCAGTAGCCACAACAAATCCTGGAGAGGGAGGGAGAGACTGATTTCAAGAGTTACCACATTATATTACTTAAAATTATTTCCATTTTCAGATGACATGATCTTGTATATAGAAATCCTAAGGATTCCACAAAAGAAATATTAGAGCTATCAGTCCACTCAGGCTGCTATAACAAAATATCACAGACTGGGTAGCTTATACACAGCAAGCATTTATTTCTCACAGTTTTGGAGGCTGGAAGTCTGAGATCAGGGTGCCAGCATGGTCAAGTGAGGGCTTGCTCCCGGGTCCCAGACTACTCGTTGTGTCCTCACATGGTGGGAGGGGCTAGAGATCTCTCTGGAGCCTCTTTTATAAGACCCTAATCCTATTCATAAAGATTCCACTGTCATGACTTAAGCACATCCCAAAGGCCCCGCTTACTAATACCATCATTTTGGAGGGTTGGGATTTCAACATCTGAATTTTGAGGTGTCACAAGCATTCAGACCATAGCAAAAGCTAATAAATGAGTTAATCAAGATTTCAAGATACAAGGTCAATATACAAAAATGAATAGTATTCTATACACTAGCAATGAAAAATCTGAAACTAAAATCAAGAAAATTCCATTTACAATAGCATCAAAAAGAGTAAAATACATAGGAATAAATTTTAAAAAGGAAGTGTAAGGCTTGTACATTGAAAACTATAAAATATTGTTCAAAGAAATTAAAGAACATCTAAATAAATGGAAAGACATCCTGTATTCATGAATTAGAAGAATTAATGTTGTTCTACAGATTCAGCACAATCTCTATCAAAATCCCAACTGGTTTCTTTGCAGAAATGGACAAGCTGATTTGAAAATTTACATGAAAATGCAAGGGACCCAGAATAGCCAAAACCATCTTGAAAAAGAGCAAAGTTGGAGGACTCACGCTGCCTGGTTTCAAAACTTATAACAAAAAATTGTTATAAAGCAAACACCCTTATAACTACCATTAGGTAAGAAATAGACTTTTTCCAGCCTCTCCAGACGCTCCCCTTACGCCCCACCTCAGTTTTAAACCTTTTCCACACCACAATAACAATCACCCTCCTATTTCAGAGTCATTTCTTCTTGCATATCTTTATAGTTTTATCACCAAAGTGTATGTCCCTAAACTCTACAGTGTAGAAGTTTCTCACGCTGTTGCAGTCAGATAGCACTTGGGGCTGGAATCATCTGAGGCTCCACTGAGGTAAATGCCCAAAATGACTCACAGACGTGGCTGGCAGTGGATGTTGGCTACAGCTGGAAGCTTAGCTTCAAGTGGTCTCTTCAACGAGTCTTAGGCTTTTGAGAGCATAGCGGTTGGGTTCCAAAAGCAAATGTTCCAAGAAAAAGGTGAAAGCTGCCAGTTTCTTAAGGCTGGGCCTGAAAACCTACACGGTGTCACTTGCACCATATTCAGTTGGACAAAGCGGTCTAGACCTGCCCAGATTCAAGCAAGCGGATATCCCCACCTCTTGATGAGAGAAGAGTCAAATAATTTCTGCCATCTTTAACCTACCGCAAATGACTTCACTGGCTGGGAGAAGGGACATGAGGGTTCAGCTGTTCTGTATGTAAACTTTGACTCCATCTGCTTGTGTTCAGCCCTGCAGCTCACTGTGACACCCATCTTCTGCTGCACCTTGCCTCTGAGTCTTGATTCTCTTAGGATTTTTAACTTATTTTGAGGTTTCTTCTATTTTGCTGTCAATTTCCACTCCCCCGTCTGCCCTCCATCTCCCACCAAATTTACTGAAATCACTCAATTGCTATTGTCTCTTTCTTTCTTATTCTTTGTCCTTGTGTGCTCATATCTTTTACACTTTTACTGTCATTTTAGTGGAGTTCCACAAGGAAGAAATGATAAATTTATATGGTATATTTATGTGAGTCCAATAAAATTTATACCCATTGTTACTTGATAACTGCTTGATTTTGTAGAGTGCTTTAAAATAAAAAACATGCACTTTCGCATGCATCATTTTATTTGCTCCTCATTAATTTTGAAGCAAAGGCAGGACAGATATTTAAATGATCTCTATTTTAGAGGTGAACAAGTTGAAATCAGAGACATAAAGTGAACTGCACAATGCTTCATGAGTGATTTGCTTTCTTTTAAATCCTCTAGGGAAATGTTCTAGAATTAAGTCTAAAGGTGACAAGGACAAGTCAAAGAATATAAAACTTGTTTTCCTTTTTATTTGAGGGAGAGGATGCAGTGCATGAGGTCAGAAAAACTAGAATTTGTATAGCATTGGAGTGGCCAGTTCACAGTCTGAGATTTTGTATGTAAATGGTCCGTTGTGGCGCAATGGGTCAGGAACCTATTTAGTAACAAACTAGGAAGACTTTGATGACCTAGTTCAGCTTCCTCTTTCAGGCCACGCTACTCATTCTGTTCACTTGATCCACATGCTGAGATGTGGGAATTTTCTACCACACCCCTTTGCAGGAGCCCATTTTGGCTGTTCTTATGGTAGCGACTGAGTTTCAAAGAGGAAGACCCTCTAATGTCTCCCAGGCATACTACAAAGGAAACATAAGTCATCAGATAGTTGGATCTGGATCTGGGCCAGGATAACTCAACTCTTCTTGTAGAAGGTGCCATGGGATCTATAGTGATAGCAGGTGATGGAAGAAGTGGATCCCCTCAGCTTTATGTCTTGTCTGAAAGATGATAACCATGC